AGGGAAAGATTGATCCATGTCCTGTACTAAAACTGGTTTGGGAACTGTTCTCACCCTGATTTTGCAGTTATTAGAACTATCCTACTTTATCCTGAGCAGAGACCATGCAATTTTCTGGAGCTTCTCTGTGCATGGCACCAAAACTATTATGTTGGTTTATGTAATTGTTTAATTTCATTTCTGAAATGCATCCAGTGAATGGTTCAGATTAAAAGGTTTGGTTTGAGTGGCTCGATATGTCTCTGCCTAGAAAATGGGGGTTTCCACTTTGGTTTGTTTTGCTATAGAACACCCAATGCCATCTGTTCACTTCAGATGGATCCAGACTTGCAGGGCAAGGATTTTTTTCTCATTTTTTTCCCAGCTTTACTCAAGAGACATTTCTGTGTCTGTCTGAGCAGCAACTACTGAACTGTAATGAAATCATGAATCTTGTGGTGTAGCACATACATGACAAATGACACCAATTACACAGCTGTGATGTGCTACCTGTGTTTTTGGATCTGTCCTGGCATGTGCCTTGCCATTGTCACCTTGGCTCATGGTATGGTCAGGCACACAAGCAACATGTTCCCTAATTTATAATATATGAATTTTTTTTTCATTTATAGGTGGCCAGACATTCCTTTTCTGAGTGCAATATCTTGGTGGATCCTTCATCTGCTACATAACAAGAAGCACAAAGTGCAGAACTAGCAGGTAACCAGCTGGAGGTGTCAGGAAACAATGCACTCTTTTCTCTATGTGTAGGAATTCCTTCATCAGCTTGTCAGCAAAGGGCATTTATGATTCTTGAGGTGAATTTTGACCCACTGCAGGATGATTACACACTGCTTTTCTGTCCAAAGGGGAAGCTTCATGCCTGTGAGAAATGAAAGAGTTTAATGTCCCTAAATAGCCTCTTCTAAGTAATAATCCTAAAATATTTTTTATTTTATTTGGTGATTTGTTTTGGTGTTTTTTTTTTTTCTGCTGTTTTGCTTGTGTGCTCTTGCAAGTTAATTCTGGAGCTGTGCTTGACAGGCACAGAGTGCCCTACTTTGAGGCCACATTTTGTCAGTGAGGATGGACTTGTGAGTAGCAGATGGCTGCTAAAACAGATTCCTTCCACTTAGGAAGTCATCTTGCACGTGGAAGGTGTTTGAGTTGGATCATGTGTATGTTTCTAGCACTTGCATTTGAAAATAAGCAGTTGGAATTGAACCCACAGCCTACTGAAAGCTGTGGGAGTCTTTCTGTTGCTTTCAGAAGGGCTTTGGATCAGTTTCTGAAGAAAGAGGACTGATGATTGCATGGAAGTCAAAGCTCCTTTTTCACATTGTATGACACACTACACTACATCTCCAAATTATATCACAAAATGTAGTATGACAAGAGCAGGCCTAAGCAGATGGTGTGGCAGATATTGGCTTATTTCTGTATCTTGGGCAGCATCTGGGAACCAGCAGAGCCCATAATTTGCTGACTGTTAACATTATTCTGGTACATTTGTAGGAAACCATTGCCCACAAATTGGTTTATTTCCAGATGAAACAGGTAGAGAGTTTAATGAGTTATTTCTACTCAGTTATGCATATTTGTTGCTTGGCTTTGACCTTAAACAACCTTTGAGTAACTCTTCCTGTGTGAAGGGCAGTGAGAACGTGTCTCTGAGGACAGGAGGATAACTGATAAATCCCTTTTCTGAAGCTTTGTGAACAATTTCTTTCTTCTTTAAGCTCTAGGGATGTGTGTGAAGTGTGAGGTATAGGTCACGTTCAAAAGCCTTTGCTTCCCACTCAGGGAAACACCCTTCAGTGATGTGCAAGGAATGAGCTGAAATCATTTCAGGGTATGGGATGCAGTCAAGCATCCTGAGTGGCATTCCTAAGCAGAGATGTCAAAAGCCAGTTGCTGTGGAAAATTGCTTCTCTTCTGCTGTGGGAGCCCCAGATGTTGATCTTGACATAACATTTGTTTAATGCTTGGAACAATATGCATCCAAAGCACCCTGCTGTGCAGCCTGACAGACTCTCCCCTGTACAAGAGCATCTCTTATCAAGACACAGGTTTGCCTGAAGAAATATTATTTCATTATGATCTTGGCTAAAATTATGCACAGTGTATATCTTTTTCTCTAGTCCATTAATAGACTTGATTCCCAAAGAAGCAGATGTGCTCTCTGTGGTAAATACTATTCTTATGACTCATTGTGTCACTGGTCACAAGAAACCCATTTTCCCCACAAAGCTGTTGAAAAAACAAAAAAAAAGTGTTAATTTTTTGCATTTTTTAAAATTTCAATTTTCCTTCAGAGTGTTATAGGCTTTGGTCAAGTCCAAATTTGATTATTTTACTTAAACTTGTGTGTGTGTGTGTGTATTCTTTTTTTTGTTTTGTTTTCCTTGAAATGAACCTTGAAATTTTAATGTGTGGGTATTTTTCACAGAAGCTTTCTGTCTACAGAACAGCCCTAAAACTATGCTGTGTACAAAGTCTTTGCCAGTGGTAGCTGAAGAGAATTCTGTCCTTTAACAGGGAGAAGAACCTGTAAAAAACTTGTATTGCTGCCACTGTGTCACTCATTGTCCACCTGAGAATCTCAGAGTACATTACAAACACTTAAGAGCTAGATAGTGCTTCTTATACAACATTTTTCCCCTTTTGAATGACAGTGGAAATACATTAATAAAATTCTAAAAAAACCCCTCATAGCATCTCTCCCAGATGAAGTACTGAATGTTGATAGCATAGCTTTATGTTCCCTACATGTAGAAAGAAAGTTAGTTCTATAATTTGGATGCAGTTAATCATGCTGTTTCCCTCTATAATTTGGATATAGTTAATTGTGCTGTTTTTTTCTCTTCCTACCCATCCCAAAATCACATTCAGGGAATTTTAGCTGAGTCTTTATATCCTCACAAGTTTTGCTGCTTCCATAAACCCAGCAAGAGCTGTCTAGATGATTTCCTTTTTATGTTGCAGAGTGTTTTGGACTTTGTTTTACAGGCTTGTCTGTATAAAATGCTGAGCTTCCACTCATGAAGAGGCAGGGAGCCTCCTCCATTTCTCCCTTCATTTTCCCACAGTGGATTTGATTGATGTTTCTCTGTTTCAGCACCTCCTATAAAGGTGAACAGAGCCAGAGGGAAAAGCAGATCTCTCTGAAAGTGCAGCAGATCTCTGTAATGCTCACCAAACTCTTCATTCTTCTCCAGTTTAGAGTGTCCATCAACCAATTATGAAACAAAATCACTCTCTCATCCCTGAGCTGATCAGCTGACTGCTCTGCATAGCAAATGGTAAGGAAGCAGCTCTCAGAGTGTACTTTTCTCATGCATTGTTTGTGAATAGTGAATTAATAAAAGCAGGATTGGGTTGTGATTGTAGCAGATTGAAAAGGCCAAAGCTAAGTTCATTGTGCAATTTACTCACCACAGGTGAAATTTATTCCCTTCTACATAAGAGCAAAGATTTTTGCTGAAAGTGAGTGAAATGTAAATGGTCTGCAGGACTTCTTGAGTCACTGTTCATCAAGAATATCATCACTACTGCTTAAGGTCCTGTGTTATGAATTTTTTTGTGCTTAAAATCATAAACTGCTGCATTATGAAATGAAGCTAGAAACATCAAGAGTATTTCATAATTTATGTGTACTGTAGGGAAATCACTTTAGAAGAATCTTCTTCCCTGACTACCTTGGTCTTTTTTCCAGTTTCTGAGGACAGTGTGTCATTTTCTGTTCACTGTAATTTCTTCTTTTCACAAAATGTTCACAAGTTTCTTGCCATGTGTATAGTATAGAAAAAGCTTCCTGTAAATGTAGCCCAGTGCAATATACAGCACAAAGATTTCTTCCTTTATTCCAGTTTCTTTCCTCTGGTTGTTTTCAGCTTGCTTCCAGCTTTCTGGTATCCTGATGGGAAGGTGGCCTTGATTACCTGTGGTGCCCTGAGAAGCTACTGACAGACTTAAATCAGGTAATTCCACTGCAGTGCTATTACACAACTAATATTTTAGGAGTACCCTAATCTAAGAGAAAAAAAATACATATTTGATACAGTTAATGTTTGATTACATTATGGAACTGAAGTCAGTAGGGCACTTTGTGGACCTAGGGAGCTACCATGCAAAGTATGTATAAATTCTGTAGCTTTTCTCAGTCAGAGTAACCACTTGGATCAGTGCCTCTGTGTATTCATCTCACCTGAGCTTAACAGGTGCTGGGAACAGCTGTACACATTCATTTTTACATGAATGGAAAATCTCTGCTGGCAGATTCCAATACCAGAGCTTTTACTAGGCATTGTAGAAGAGAGAAAAGTTCTTTCCAAGTAAATGGCAGAACTTGAGACAGACTTTTTCCAGGCTCTGCTGAATTTGACAGATGTTGAAGAATATTTCCTGTCTTGGCTGAAGTTGGAACCTGCTGTTCTCCAGTGGTTCCCTACATGTTACAGATTATCAGCCACAGAAGTGGTTTCTCATCAAGCTAGATGGAGAGTCTGCAAAACTCTCCCCACTACAGGCCTCAGGTGTGTCAGGAATTACTGTAGTCTAGAACATCCACAGAAATAGCCCTTACATTTTTTGTGAAGGTAAAGAACAAGACCTATACCTATAAGACACTCAAAATATCACAAGCACTGCCATCTCCTTAAGGAGCTACAGGCACATCCAAAAACTGGAGGGTGGTCACACAAATGCTGGAAAGACTACTGGGACACATGGATGCTGCTGCTTGTGACTGGGTGAAATCAGTTTTGTTTTCAAGTCCCCTTCCTCTCCTATACTTTCTTGGACATTTAACACATTGTTGCTGCAGTATTGCAACTGGACTACTGAATTTAGGTTTCCTTTGTGAAGCCCCACTCTAACACTAAACCTGGAAATATTACTTTCATGGCCAAAACCTATACTCCAATAAAAAGAGAAGTTATGCTATGACAGATACCACATTTCTGTTCTTTGTGTGGGACACAGAATAATCCATAGCAAGCCACTTTTCTGTGCCACTCTTAGCAGCTGCTGTCCTTGGCTGGGTAAGTTTTCCTCAGTGTCTTTATCAGGGAGTGGAAGGCTGAGTGGGGATTAGAAATCCCACACTCTTTTTCCTTACCGTGCTGACACCTTGTGGTAATGCTGTGGCCACGCTGAGGAACGACTGGGAGGCAGGCTGTAGTTTTCCTGGTGTTTTCCTCTTCTCCTGAGGCAGAATTGCTTTGTGTCCTCCTGCAATAAAGCTGCTGAGCTTCATTGTTGTCCCTGAGCCTGCCACTGCTGTGAGGGGTGGAGGTGTGGATTTTACTGGGTTGTACAAGAGAACATGAGGCACAGAAGGCTGCAGCTGTTAACACTCCATACAAAAGTCCTTCTTCCTGTTGATCAAGAGGGAACTCTGATACCAGTCAGGCAGAATTATTGTTGTGACTGTGAGCTTAATCATTGTAACTGCCAGAATCCTGCATTAGGCATTTCCAGGCTGCCTGCATTTGGCCTAGGCAGTGATTTGCTCTCCTAACAGGACTGGACCCACTCTCACCTGTGGTCCTGCATCACCAGCCACCTCAGCTGCCCATCGAGGGCTCAGAAAGCAGCCAGGAGCCTCTTCAAGGAGCACAAACAAACAGGAGCAGCTGTTTGAAAATTCACTCCTCTTTATTATCCCTCATTCTGACAGATGGCAGCAATGGCAAGTGCCAGGCACCTCCTCCACACCATCAAGAACAACCTCTTTCAAGAGCGCCGCAGGAGGAAGGAGGCTCAGAGGAGGAGGGCTCTGGAGATGGCAGAGGAGAAGCACTTCCCTACTCACAAAAAGGCTTTGTGAGTTTCTGCTTCTAATGGGGTTATAAGTCTCTCAGTAGTAAGTCAGGCTGTGGGGTATTGCTTGATTATATCCTTTGAGTAAGTGATTTGAAGACAGACCCCACACCATGCCATGATTTTTCCATTAAAAAGGGAAAGCATAAGTGGAAAGTTGTTGGACATTGTTCTATAGCTTAACTACTATTACCATGCTGACAACCCAATAACAAGTTCTTATAAAATATAACATCATTGTGCCTTCCCTCCTTCCTTATGTCATCTCTTTCTCTCCATGCCACTCCTTATGGCCAGTCTAGGGTCAAGCATTGCAAATATTTAGTACCTCTGTGACACATTCATTGGAAATTTACTGTGAGTACTTTCCACATGTGAACCAGAGCACACTCACTGGCAGTCATTCTACTCAAGTCCCACTGAACAGCAGTCCTGTGGGATTATTCACAGTACTGAGAAGCTGATCTTACCACTTCAGTTCTCTCAGAGCTGTTCTGCTTTGTGTGCTTTACACATGTTAGTGTGTAAACTCATTACTGTATTTCCACTGATCACAGTGGTTAATAATGAGCATTGGAGATCATGCTGTGATTTTTCCTGTAGTTTCTCTTTCCTTGCTCTGAGATTTTGGTTGATGTTAAGGTGTAGAAACTGCAGGGAATGATTAGATGAGATAAGCAGTATGAACCCACAAAGGGTGAGATTCTATTCTGGTTGTATGAGGACCTAGCAGCTCTCTTACACCTCAAGTGTCTTCTCCAAATGAGGCTTCAGTGAGACTGAAATATGGAAAAAATGGTCACTTCTCTCTACATGAATTAATTTCATCCTTGCACAAAGGAGGATCAAAATCTCTTAGCAAAAACTTGATTGTGCTGCACTGCTAGGTAGGTAAATTGCTATTAGAAACCACTTTTATATACAGGAAGATTAAGGGATAATAATTACAGTGATTCTCATGGAGAATATTTGGTGTTTGTATTTTAGAATGTAGTAAAATGCAAAGTGTTTTCCATTGCCAATATTTCCCCACTTGTATTCAGCAACAAAAGATATTTCTTCATTTTGAATGTCCTTTAATCCTTCTGTGAGCAGTCAAGATTTCTCTGTAGTTCCATGGGAGTTTTGCTTTCCTAATGCTTAGGTAGCAAAGAGGGATGACTTTGGGGTTGCTGTTGCAGGTGTCATTGTGGGGCTGACAGGTGCCTGGGCTGTTCCCAGCAGAGAATGGACTGAACAGCAGGATATCCAGCCCTTTGCCATCCTCTTGTAGTTGAATTTCCCAAGATATTTAGTTAAAGGAAGCAAAAAAGAGAAGCCTCAAATTGCAGGGATACTAAATGGGCAGAAAGAACTGGTTGAGATTCTGTTGAAAGAGTAGAATTTGTTTTATGGACTTTCATTCTTTCAGCCAGATGATGCCAGCAGACATAGCTAAACCAGACTTCTGGCTTAGTCAATAGCACAGCTGTCTGCTTACAGTGAATTACTTTTATTTTCATCTGTCTGGGTACCAAAACCATATAAGGCTTGATCCTTTCTCTACTCATTATTTCTATTTCTCTGTTGGCATACAGTCCCCCTGCAGAGCTCAGTGCTCCACCACCACCTGGCCCTGAGAACCCATCTTCCCCAGTGGACAGACCTGTCCTGGAGTCCCCCAGGTTCATGACTGAAGAGAGAACTGTACTGCAGAAGAGTGAGAATAACAGCAAGGCACCAGAGCAAGGCCAGACAAAATCTCAGGTGAGCAAAACATGAAGCTGTAATAGTGCTAAAGCTGAGAAGACAACCTACCAAGTTAAATATCTAATTGCCTCCTAATTACCAATGACCTCCAGAAGCATTTGTAAGAATATTTGCTGGGTTACTTTTTGGTTTCTTCTTTGGTGTTATCTCAGAGGAACACACTAAAGAACTGCTAAGACTGGTGTCCTCTCTCTATTCTGACAGTAAAAAAATGCCATCATGTCCTCCTACTGCAAGCAAATGCCAAGGAAGAAGACCTTGATTCTTAATTCTTACCAAGCTCAGGCCACTTTTGTCACCATAACAACAGCAAGAGCACAGAATGGGCCCTTCTTAAGGACAAAACCAGAGTAGTGTCCACTCCAACTAAAACAGCTCATGCACAGAAGCTCTCCACTAATCCATTTCCAGGTTCCCTGCATAGAAACAATGCTAGAGGAATGCATAGGACAGTACAGATAAAAATAAACACATAGCATTTTTTTGTTTCTATATTTATTTGAGAGGTTGACAGCTGGGCACATACTCAGAATACAGGGAACACTGGGCTGTGTTCAAAACAGTTTGTGTCATCCACTCATCTTGTTCTTCCCAGAAGCCAAGGGTGCAGTGACTGAGCACTGGCCTGTGCACGTCAGGTCCCTCTTTTGGCTGCTACTGCTGTGCTGCCCTTTGGGAGACATGGCTTGTAGTGCTCTGCTGCTCAGCTCAGGTGTAGTGTCAGCTCACATGCAGCTGCAGGAGAAGTTGTGGGCAGACATTGCTCAAGCATAAAAAGTTGGTGGCTGGCATTTGTCATTTGGGAGGACAGTGAGACAGGACTTGCACCCCTGTAGGAGGATTCTGTCAGATGCATTGCTTTCTTGTTCATTCTCTCTCTGGGCTGAGAATGCTTTTTGAGCAGCTCTGCTGCTCAGCTCAGGTGTAGTGTCAGCTCACATGCAGCTGCAGGAGAAGTTGTGGGCAGACATTGCTCAAGCATAAAATGTTGGTGGCTGGCATTTGTCATTTGGGAGAACAGTGAGACAAGGACTTGCACCCCTGCAGTAGGATTCTGTCAGATGCATTGCTCTTTTTTTCATTTTCTCTCTGGGCTGAGAATGCCTTTTGAGCAGTTCTGTGCTGATTTTTACAGGGCAGATTATTTCAGTGCTGCTTAAAAAGATACAGACCATAAATCCAATGATAGCTTTTAATAGAATCCATGAGCTTGGAAGTCCTGGGGACCCAGCTCTTAGTCTCATGATTTCCTGGCAGCCCTGATTCCAGCCCAGCTTATGCCATGCCTCTAAAGCAGCTTACCTGGAAAGTGTTTGTCTCCCTGACTTCTGGGCTTCTGTCCCCTGCATGGCCCAGAGGCAGCTACTTCCATTCAAAAATGAGGAATTTCCCTTTTCTCTTCCACACCCAGTCTCTCCCTCCATCTCCTTGTCCCAAAGCATCTGTGAGCCTTGGAGGAGACTGTTCCCAAACCAGGATATTCCATTTTGCAGAAATTCCAGGCAGTGAGGTTTTTATTCTAGTTTAAACCAAACAGAATCTCACACATTTAGAATTTGTCATAGGACAAAGAATTTGTTCTGGACAGTATATTTTCCAGCCTGTCCTCATATCCATTAGAAATATTTTAACACATCAGTTGTTTGCAATCAATTAAATAAAAAGGTCAACTAGTACATCTGTAAAACAGACCCAATCTCAAATTTACCATGCCCTCTGATACCAAAATTTGCATAGAAAATGAAATGTTATTGCTGATAAAGTTGTGAACAGGTATTTTTATCTTTTTTTGTTATAGGCAGTTGTCTCTTTTGAAGCAGATGTGTTAAAAATACACAAATCCCTCAAAAGCATTCACAATGAAACCAGGTAGGTAAATGCAGTAGTACAGTGGCTGGAGGCTGGGGCAGTGCTGCTCCAGAGAAGAAAGGTTTTGAGATTTAAAGAACAAAAATCCTATCAAATGGGGATGAATGATAAAAACTCAGCAGCAAAAACTTTACACAGACATCACTGGAAAAACAATTTCTGTCAAAACAAAACATTTTGGGTTGTTTTCATCAGCATTTCTGCAGTTATTAGTTTATGGTTCTAAAAGTCATTTTTAAGGGAAAAATGTTCATTCATATAAAAATATCAGAGTAGCATAGTGTTTAATTTTTTTTCTCTGAATAATGCTTAATCAAAACAAATTTCATCATTCACATTCAGTTTTTAAATCAAAGTAGGGTATCTTTCTAAAAATATGCTCTAAATCTAATAGAGATTACAGATTTAATAGAGTGACTATCAGTAAAAATTCCATGACTTAGATTTATCACAGAGTCCCTTCTGGTATTCAAACCTTTGACATGATAAAATATTAATTCCTAAATGACAAGTTTCTTGGGCAGTTTGGTGGAGGGGGGATGTTGTTGTGTGGGCAAGCATGTTTCCCTTTTTCTTTAACTTCTGCTTTCCCCTCTTTCATTTTTGTGGTGTTATATGAATGTGCTGTAGATATAATCATCTCTGTGACCACTGAAAACAGTGGAATTACAGCAAAGTGTAGAATTTGATCCTGAAGCTACTCTATTTTCTTCAGTATGTCCAGTTCCCTCTGTTCCTTTTTTGTTTCATTCTAATAAGTCAGTGTGCAATTGCTGCTCCAAATTCACACAAGGGCACTCCAAGACTAGAGCAATACAATAGTTTCATTTTAAGTCTCTGTCCTTACCTCACTCTTTGTTCTCATATGGGAAAATAAAGAGATAGGGCAGAGATCTTCAGCTTTCATTTAGCTTAGCAGTACTTGAGAGGATATCTGGGAAGCCTGCTCCTGAAATACCCAGAGCTCATCATGGAAGGGGGTGAATTTATCATATTGCACATGGGAAGCTCTTTGTTCTTATTTGTGGACCAACTTCCAGCATTTATGTGCCTGTTCACAGAACTGGGCCCCAAGTTAATTGAGGGTAGTCAGCATTTTACAGTAAATAAACACATTAAATAAATGATACAGTAGTAAATACATTAAAAGCTGTTATAAGGGACCACTGTAATATTTATTTTAACATTAAACAGACTGACGTGCTGTCCCTTTCTGATAAATCTTGCATAATTCCAGTGAAACTGATGTGGCTCTCATCTGTGAGCCAATGCATACCCAAAAGAAAGTGAATCAGATGGACTTGTGGATCTAAACAAGCAAGGGAGTGAACTACTTCAGCTGTGTGATATGGAGAAGTTGTGCTGCACAGAATGCCAGGAGCAAGAAGAAACCCAGTCTTCCTCCTGTAGAAGTAGTAGAGGCTGTGAAGAGTAGAGGCTGCTTTTACTCCTTTCTTGCCCAGGAGGAAACAATGGGAATCTTTTGCAGGTCAGGGAATTGCCAAGAATTAGTGTGCTTCTAGACAGAGGAACTGCTCTAAGTTGTCTCCTGTTGTAGCCACCTTGGTGGGAAAGGTAAAACCCCAAGAGACAAGGCTCAGTCCTGGCCACAGTTCTGCTCAGCTTGCATCTTTCCTCATCTAGAACACTCTTGATAATTCCATGGATACAGTCCAGTTCCTGAAATAGTGGCCTCTAACCCCAAAGCTGACCAAAAATTCCTGATCTGACAAAGAGGAGAAAATTTGTGCTACAGTATTTGCTCTTTTCCATGACTGTGTGTATTTGTGATCCAGCAAAACCCCCACCCTCCTGTGTCCCTGGCAGGTACATGAGGAAGCAGCTAAACAAATGGAAGGAGGAAATGCAATTTCTTCACAACTGCCAGGAAGATAAAAGCTGCAAAATAGAGGCAAAGCTCCAAAGCCTGAGAGCAAGCCATGAAAACCTGCAAATGAAGCTGCAGCAAATGAAGCAAGAAGTAAAGGTATAGTGATGAATATACCAAGAATCTTCACAGCTAGGGACAATTACTGAACACTAACTACTCCTTTTCCTGCAAACCAACACTCTTGATACTATTTTGTGCACCTTCTGCTTACCTGCTCAGTCATCTCAGGTTCTTGACTTCAGAGAAAGCAGATGGGCTCTTTGCAGCAGGGATTTTCATGTCATTCTGTATATATTTAGGATGTAGCCCAGCCACTAATGTCTAGAAAATTCCAACTACAATGGTGGCACTGACATTCAACCTAGCCAGTTGGGATTTCAGATCTTAACAGGTCTGAGGTATGTTTGATATGTGTTTAATACACACACATATTTTTCCCACTAGTTTAATTATTTTAGAACAATTTTCCTGCAAGTTTACCCTTGGAACATAATTATTCAGACTTTTGAATGGCATTAAAGCATATGATGTCTTCAGATTGCAATTGTGAGAAAAGTGGCCACAGGGATTGGTCCAAACTCAAACATAAAGTTTTATTTTACTGCAGGAAAATATTTTATTCGAGAAAAAAATTGGTTTAGTTCACCAATAATTAAATATATATTTTTTTTATTATTATTATTCTGACCCCAAATTATGTTCCTGCCTATTTTGGTGCTACCAGAAAACCAAAACATTGGTTATTTTCACAATGTGTTTTGTCTATTGTAGACAATGTTGCAGTCATCAGAGCCTCCTTTTGCACATCATCAGAATATGATACCAAGAAATCCACATGTCCAGCTGGAAAGGAGAATGCAGAGTGGATTAAATCCTGCCCAGATAAGTCCCACTTCCAGAACATGTGCAGACAGGCAATCTTTGAATCCCCCCAACTCTGCAAATAGAATGCAGCTTCTACAGACCCCTGAGGTTCCAACTGCAGTGGACTTTATGCTCTCAGAAGACCCACTGGAGTCAGTGTCCCTGCAGAGCAACAGACCTTTTATGGGGCAATATAAAAAACCAAATGAGAATCAAACACATCTGCCTGGACTGACAGGAGACTCCCCTGATGCCATGATGAGGAATACAGTTCCTAGTCCCACAGCAGTGCATATGGCACCTGCTGAGAAGGAAGTCAGTGAGGAAATGGAACTGCAGCAGCTAGTGATGAAACTGGAAGATGTATTGTCCTTCCAAGCCCAAACAGGTACAAGTTCTCCCAGTTATACTTGGTGTCTTTTCACTTTCATCCAGTTTACTCTGTAATACTGTTTGTAATCATTCAACCCTCAGAGGAAACTCAGAATCTTGCCTTTGCCATTGTAGAAGTATTCCAGCTCTAGAGTGTAGGGCAGAAGATATTCCTGCAAGTTGGAATATAGCCCCTAACATTGGAATAATGTGAAACAGGATGAATCAAAGACCATGAGAGGAAATCAGTCTCAGCAGTCAGTTAGGGAGCAAACTTACACTGGTGGAGGCACTGGGGGTCTCTGCCCCTTCTGTGACAGTGTAACTGTGACTAGTCCAGGCTGACTTCCAGCAGTACAAAATCCCTTGGGCATCAACAGTGTCACACAGCAGAGCTTTGTTCAACACTCAGGGTGCCTTGCTTTTGATAATGGGGGCATAATGAGGAGAGAGACAGAAAAAGTGCTATTTCTACAGTTATCTTACATTAGAGATCCATAAAGAGTTTTTCAGGATTCTGGCAGCATCCAAGTGCTCTGAAAGACTTAAAATCTGTTCTGCTTTTCAGCTCAACAGTCTGCTTTGGAGCAGGAGCTCTTCTCTGCAGCTGAACGTGTTTGCAGATCCTTTTCTGACCTCATCAGCCAAGTAACTTCACCAGCTTATAAATGATGGAAACTACCACTCACTGTACAGCTTCACTGGACTGTGGAAGGTAATTGGTGCCACGTGAGACTCTTTAAAGTGTCTCAGATGTTGCATTTTAATAACCCAGCATAGGAGATTTCTGCATTTACTGACTTCCCCAGGAAGATTGGAGAATGATGTTCCTTTTCTATTGATGGTTTCCAGCTCCTGTGCAGTAGCTGCTGGCTCAGCTGATAAAACCCAGCATGTCTTCAGTCATGTTCCACTGGCTTCCACAACTGTCCTCCCTTCAGAATGATCAATATATGATCAATAATAGCTTGTGTTTCAGGAACATCTATTTCTTTATACTAGAGTTGGTTTGAGCCAACTGGTTTCAGTGATGCATTTTCTATCACTTTGTTGTTTCTTAGACTAAAGGAAGAAGTTCTTACCTGTCAGACTTCTCAGTGCTTGACATTGACATATTCATATTTTTCCAAACTACTGAATTCATACATAAAGGAAAAGATGCTTTGAACTTTTAAAGGAATTTGATTGCTTTAGAAAAGCCTTTCCATTATTGATGAACTTATATATTAGTTAGAATGGTTAATAAGAATGTAATCTTACCTGCAGCATCTAAAATGTGAGAAAAGTAATGTGATTCCTCAGCAGTGCAAATGATTGCTCACTTCTCTCTCTAGCTGTTGATGGGCTATGGTTGAGTTACATCCTTGGAATTGTGCTGCATCACTTGTTCATGACAGCAGCAAGGAGAACTTTTTTTTTTCTGATAATGCACAGAAGTATTTTAAAGATCTGAGAAACTGAAATTATTCTGTACCACTTCAGAGAGAAAAATTCTAGAACCTGCCACTTGCCCTTTTCTGCAGGAAGTACAGAAAAAATAGTGAATGAGTATGTGTATGTGGACTCAAAACCACTCATGGTTCAAGAAAATTTTCATACTTTCAAGGATTTCAGATGAATCACTGGAAATAGATCAGCTTTCCAAGAGAGAAAATAGTCCTAGTCTTTACAGGAATTTTTCTATGATTACTGAGAAATTTGATTTGGGTGAAAGCAAAATATTCTTGGAAGCTTTGGGAGGGAAGTCAGGTAAATTACATGTTCTGAAGCTTTGTTTCATGTGTAAGCAAAACAAAGTTCAGGCTAATGTGGTTGAAAAGGCCAAGGAAAAGTGTAGCACTTAAGAAAAGCTGCTCAGCAGAACGTTTACTTTTCCACATAGATTCTCCTAATCTTGTATTTTTCAGAATGAATTATCACCAAGATAAAGGGAAGACTGTCTGACTCATTAAAATGTCCAGAAATATTGTTTTCTGTAGGTAGCAGCTCAGCCACCTTCTTGAAAGACCTTATACTGTGGCAGTCCTGGTTCTTTTGGCTAGTTTTGGTCACAGCCTTAATTACACATACTGAACCATGATGAACTCTTCCTTCATGGAAGCACATAAAGACTCAAGGAAGAGTTTTCCTGTGCAAATAAGCCCTTGTTTAGCTGCCAGGTCCCTATAGGATGAGAGGGGGAAAAATCCCAAGGCTTTTATTTTGTTGTTGCCCAGTTTAGCTGACAGTGAAGCAACCTCAGTCAGACACGTTCACCCCATCCTTCTTCTGACCCTTTCAGACTGAAGAACAGTAAGCCAGGAACAGTATCTGCAGAAACAATCCTAGCTCACCCCAAGATCTGCCATGAAGTTTACAGGGGTGAACCATATGCAGTGGTGGGAGGCAATATCCTGTCTTCAACCCCAGGGACATTTTGAATTGTTCCTGTATGGCAAATCCACTTGCATCTCATACTCACAGCACTTGGGTTTTTTCTTAACACAGATACTCTAGGAGGCCCTGATTTAGTGAGTGAATCTACACCAAACATCATCATTATAGTGTGTTTTCATGCTAAATTATTGAGACCAGGATAAAAGCAAGCAAGACTTAAGTTATAAACTTAGAATTGAGCTCAGAGCTTCAGAGAGAGAAGTTGCCTGAAGTAGGATTTCCTTTAGGAACTTTATCACTTGCAGGTTTACACGTAATTAATTGCAACCCCTTTTTTATTTCAGCACAATTCATGACAGATTGTCTCCTTTACATCAGCAGTTTCCAAGTGTTCTCCATAGTCTGACCTATGCTAGAGATTCAGCTGTTTTCTCAGTCTTTCCTCCACATACTAAACCTTTCCTGCCCATTTCCTAAAAGGCAAAATGATGCTACAGCCTGTTAATTAGGAAACTTGCTGAAGCAGAAAAGTGTTGCAAATTTGTTTAATCTAAACACCAGCTTGGCCCATAGTGATATTTCACCATTTCTTTTGCTGTCTGACAGGAGGCAGAAAGCTGCCAGCAGCCCTTTTCTAGGGGATCCTGGTTTTACTGGTGGGATGTATCTAAAATAGAAGCACTAGCCCATTTTGAGATTTCATTTACACATTTTGAACCTATTACTGCAAGTTAATGAACACTTAGCAAATGGGTTTTAATTTGGGCATTTAATTTTGGGAAAGAAAAAAAAAAGGCAACCAAATATTGCCACATGGTCAAAGAAAGAATCTTTGAGTGAGCAGCTAAATGTAGTTGCCCTGGAAAGCTGAATTTTGTAGTTGCCTTCAGCCAGCCAGGCAGTGGAGGTATTTCATGTCATCAAAGCATCAAATGTTACCTACCCAAAGTTATCTTGCTTTAGTTTAATGTCAAATTGCCTATTGGAATTATCTGTAACAGTCAGAGGGTATGACATCTATAAACAACTTGCAAACTGAAAAAGAAACAAATTCAAGTTACATATGAGAATTCTTTGGGTTAAACACTTTAAGTGAGAAAGTGTAACATTTTAAGTGCTGTTTTCAATAACTATAATTTTAGGGAAAAACCTGTAAAAATACATGTGAAAGCAGAGGAGCTGGGAAAACCTGTTAACCCTTTTACTTTTGATGGAAAAATGTTTTTAAGGTATTTTTAATACAAAATAAGCACTATTTCAGCAGCATGATGTCTTTCAGCAGTAGTTGCTCTGTGCAAGTGTACAGCTCTGCATACAAAATGTTGACTCTAACCCTGCCTTGGAGATAGTGGCAGGTTTTTGGCAATTTCCTTCTCTGTTTGTCTATATCTTACTTGAAGGATCAGTTGTTCCTGTTTTGGCACCCAAAAGACAATAGCTTGAATAGGTTGGATGCATTACAAAAAGCCTGACATACACACAGACTGAAGTAGACAGCTGCTTATAAATCATGCAGTTTATTAAGGAGAGTGAATTTATAGGGAATTAAAAAAAAACCTCACAAGTCCAAGTTAACAGAGATACAGTGCTCATAGTTGCAGGCCTTCTTCCACCATGTAAATTGACAACAATAAGGATTAAAATACAAAAATTAAAGAGAAATAGTTTAAAAATATCTACAAATCAAGATCTTGGACTAAATGTGTCATTCCCTCTTTTTCCCTAGCTCTCTAATTATTCTTCCAAGTAGTGTAGATCTACTCTTATGCACATGGATACTTAAATCTTCAAACAAGTCTCTCTTCTTCAGAACTGTCGACCTCTGAAAATGAGAAAATACCCCTGAAAAGTGACATGAAAATGCATATAAGTAATCAATTCCCAAACAGCAAAGAGCAGCTGAATACTCAGTTTCCCACACCCAGGTTTCCTCCATCTGTAGCTGCTGCTGGTGCCCATTTTATCAGTATTGCCCCCAGGCCTCTTGTTTTGCCAATAGCTGTATCCTCCCATTTGCAAATTGCCTTTTCAGTGTCGAGTTACTTTGACCTTTTCCCTTCACATGGACCTTTTCCTTCAGTCTCCCTATAAAACTCTTCCACTATTTCCTTGAGGAGCTATGGGGCATTTTCTTTGCAGTGATCTCCAAAAGCCAGCAAATTTGCTTTCTTTTCTTTTAGACACATACAGCTTCTGAAAAAGTAACTGGTTAAGACACTGCTTACTTACCAGACCTCAAATGTGTGCTACAAGCAGCTCTGCCCCCTCCCTGGCAGCCTGCAGTGCAGCAGTGGGGACAGCAAGCTGGCTGTGGTGGGCCAGGTGGAGGAGGGGATGTGAGCCCAGGTACCTGCAGGTGTGAGGGAGGGGGGCTCAGCTGCAGCCACCAGCAGGGGCTGCTGGGTGAGAAGGGGCAGAAAAGGGGGAGAGAAGGCTTTGGGCTTGTGTTCTTCACATGTTTCTGCTGGAGACCTACTAGGTGGCTTCTTGAGGAGGGTTGTCTTGTACAGCTGCACTTCAGGACATCTCACTGTGAGTACAAAAGCTGTGTTTTTCTTCTGTTTCTTAAGTGCTAATGTGGCTCATTAAGAGTTGGTACAACTGTAATGTATCCAGCTCCAGTGCTGCAGTATATTGGAAATGTTCCTGTGAAACCCATTTTTTCATCATGATTGGGCTTTTGTTAGGAGAAAGGGATGAGGTACTAAAGGTACCTTGGCCAGGCAACTATGAAGGGCACTCCCTACTTGTCTCAGCTGACCAACACTCCTGTGTAGGCTATCTGGGGAAGCTGAAATGCTGCTGGGTTGAGTGTGGTGTTAGCTGGATGGAGGCAGTTGGTCAGAGAAATCACATGCAGCTATTCTGATCTGGTTGGTTTTGTCATGGATTGTGTAGAGTTTGAAGAGTATGTTCAGACCAGGTAGTAATTGCAATCAGGAGTCTGGCAGGACTACATTGGTTTAGAAAACTGTTTGAGCCCAGAATTCTGAGCCTGGGTTATTTCTTCCACTGTGCTGGTGCACACTCAGCAAGGCTTGTTTCCCAAGTATGGGCAACTGTGAGATTGCTTCTTAAATGAGATGAAGTAGTTCTGATGAGTCCTTTTACCAAGGACTTCACTAAGGTGTTGGGCTTGGAGGGTGTTTCTGGTCTTAGAAAAGCCCAGTCCCTGATACTCAGTTTTCACAATGACCTCATGGAATTTATCCTTCAGTTCTGAAATCTGACACTAGATCAACAACATCTTAACATCAGTATTGCTGTGCCAAGTCCAGGTCTCTCTCTTGCTTTTCCAATTCAATTATGTTTAAGGAACTACAGTGAATGCCACTTACAGGTTCCTCATGACTTATGATCCTGTTTGCAATTAAGAAGAAAAAAAAAAAAAACACAAACAAATTGAAATTGTGACTAAAAGGAGTAAGATGAAAAACTTCAGTATGGAGCAATAAAGATGTTATCAACAGTTGCAAAAGTAACAGTATAAAGCAAAATATCTTGCTTTATTGTCTGACTTCTAGAACAAGCCTGCTGAAAGTTATTCATATTGCCCATGTGGACATGAAGCACACAAGGTCATCCAAATTTCAGATGCTCTTAGTGCTGCTCTTTGGGCTGCACAAACAGGCTGGTACACCTCTGTGCACAGGAAGAGGTAACTCTATTCATCATCATTTGGCAGGATGCCATTTCTACCTGCAGTTATTAACAGCTGATTTCTGCTTTCACTGACCAAACAAGATGGGTCAAGGGTTACAAAGATTAAACCAGCTGATTTTGTTAAGAAACTGGGAGACTTGGATGAGAGGCTAGATAGCCCCTCCAAAGAATTTAATGTAGGTTGTCACTGCTGTGTGCTGCCTCCTACTGAGTGATGTTAATCAGCTGTGCAGAGAAACCAGATTAACTGATTACAGTTCACAAAACAAAGAGGTAAAAGAATAGAGAAGGGGAGGAAGCATTGTTCTTCTTAAAGTGTGAATGCTTAGTAGTGCTTAAAATCTTTGTAGAGAAGTAAACAAAACTCAGTATTTATCACAAAAGCCATAATTGGATTCTTGAAAATAGATCTTAATCTTGACCAGAACAAAAGCTCTTTGTTTAGGAAAAATCAGTGTGACATAAACACCAAGAGCCAGATGTGAACACAAGGCTGAGGGGGGATTTAGACAGTGGTATTCAAAACTTCAGTCCTGAAACCAAAAATTCAGCTGGTGCTTCAGCCTGGTGGGCATCTCAGGTTTTGATAGTACTATTGCCTCAAGCATCTAAGGTTGCATTCTGTTTACACCCAAAAGTGCATCAGTCTCACCAGGACTGAGAAGTGTGTTGCCTTTGTGATGTCTGAGGCCACCTGGGAACTGGAAGGCAGGCAGTACAGAATGCCCTTCTAGTTCCCAGGTGGCCTCAGACATCACAAAGGGCAGATCTCCTGAGAGCTGCTGTGTCTCAGACTGTTTGCAGAGCAGGATAGGATCAGCTCCTTGGTTTTGAAGTGCAGATAGAATTGTTTAGTTCAGAAGTTAGAAACTGGTCCTGTGTGTGTAAGGAGCTCTTCAGTCTGAGGGGAATAATTCAAACCCAACTCCTACCTCCTGGCTTAATGGCTAGGGTACTGTCTGTGGGTAAGAGGGGTAAGGACCTCTCAATCCTTCCTATCTCAGATATTATCTTGCAGTACACTAAACATCTCCAGGTTTGTGGGCAAGTCCCTTCTTCAGAGACACTGTAATGGGTGGCTGCCCAGAGAGGTTCTTCATTATTCCATGGGCATTCCCACCAATGTTAGTAACTAGGACACTGAGGAAGTGGAGCTAAGGGTCTGAATCCATCCAGGTGGAAAGGCAGTTCTGCCTTCACACTGTTGGTGATGGCAGCAGTGCTTCTACACCTCCACCAGATGATAGCACCCATCCCTTCCTGAAAGTGGATGTTCTTGAGGGAAGGATGCATCTGTCGGCAGCAGGATCAGACCTGAAGCCTTGGAAGGGACTGGGGTTCAGGAAGAGCTATGCTACATCTTCCTGCAGGGAATGAGGAGGCTGAGTAACATGCTGCCCTCTGCAGATCCTGCAGTGAGGTGCCAGCTCACCTTGTTGCATATGGAGATGCTTTTCAGTGTGGGGATTCTGCTCTGGGGCTGCAAACCTGGAGATGAGGAACTGCAGGATTCAGTGCCATAGGTGGTGTTCTTCCTCCTGGGGCTGTGTCTGAAAGCCTGCACACATCTGAGGCCTAGGTCTGTTTCTGCTGCATGTTGGGCAAAGTTACCAGCATGGAAATAGGAAGCATCTAGTGGCTGACTATACTAGATGGCAAGTAAATGCACCCTTACTCTTCTGCTGCAAGACTGCTGCTCTCAGCAGCACCACTGCAACATACTCCTGAATACTCCTCTCTGAATGAGGAATTTGGAACTAGCCTGCCCATGGAACAACAGCAGTAAAAATATTGGTGTGGAAGAATATCTCTGTATGCTCAGTTGCTGAGCAGCCTTCTTTGTTTGTAACCTATGTCTCATTTTCTGCTGCCCCTTCTTCCCCAACACACTGAAATTTAAAAGCTGTCATTAGAGTTTGGGTTATCTGGAGGTCAAGTTTTTACTGAGACCACTTTGACCATAAGCATAGCTCTGGACTGGGGGCAGTGGGAGGTGGCTGTGCAGCACTGTCCTGCTTTTGTACTACTACCACATAACACAATCCACCTGTATCCTTCCAGCTAGACTCTAGGTGAGACACAAGACATGCATTAAAGGAGTAGTAACCTTGGTTTCTCCCTGTGAACTGAGAGTGTAGAGCAGTGATCCTCTGTTCATCTTCTGCCAGCTGCCTTCTCCCTAGGCCATGGGTTCTGGAGAGCACGCAGTCCACATAGATATCCCAGAAGAGCTGAGCCAGGTCCCAGAACAGAGCCCCATGTTTCAAGTTCTCTGAGGATTTCAGGAAGATCATGAAGTCCCAGAAGCCGCTGACAGAGTCAGAAATGCGAGGCTTCCTCATCTCCAGTAAGGCAGCTGAGGAAGACTCCCAGCACTGGGGGTCTGCTCGCCCGAGGGCTAGGGGATCGATCTGGCTGTGGCAGAGGAAGGGGGTGACACAGAATGCTCCCATGATTAGCAAAGTGCAGGTGAGCCTCATGGTGCAGCAGGTTCCTCCTCTGCTCCCGTGGTCTGTTACGTGACTGAAATGTGACAAAACCAAAAGAAGCTGAAAAACCTCTTGCTGCCAGATGCAGGAACAAAGCCCCAGTACCTTACGTGATGTGGAAAGCACTTCAGATGCTGCTAATTGTTTCTCTGCTCTTTAAAGACCTGCGTGTGCTTTTTTTGTGTGTATGAATGTAAGTGCTAGTGGAGTTGTGTTACTCTGTGCAGCAGAAGTGTGTGTCAAAGTTTGTTAATCATCCTCAAATCCACATGGTGAATTGTCTTATCTGGAACTTACTGAAAGTTTTTGGAGTTTTTTGATTTACAGATCACTCAAGTTTTTCAGTAAAAATCTGTTCCTTTTTACAGAGAATTTAAGCCTTTAGGCAGTCTTGCTTTCCTCAGAATTTTGTGAGCCCATTAAAACAGTCTGCAGATGAACAGGGATCTGTGGATAGGATGTAGGAAACTACTTGTTCAAAGTGTTGTTCTAAGGAGTTAATGGTAGGCTGCAAAATGATGCATTGAACAGGAGTGTTCCACCTGCTAAGGTGAAGAACAGCTCTGAACAGAGGGTAGAGCCAAGCCACAGCATGGCAGCTGTACTGCACAGCACATGTACACACATAGAATCACAGAATGCTTGGGTTGGAAGGGATCTCTAAAGGTCTCTAGTCCACCCCCCCTGCAGGGAGCAGGGACATCTCCAACTAGACCAGGTTGCTCAAAGCTCTATCCAACCTGACCTTGAATGGTTCCAGGGTTGGGGCATCCACCAGCTCGCTGGGCAGCCTGGGCCATCTCACTGTGAAAAATCTCTTCCTTATGTTTAGTCTAAACCTCCCCTCTTCCAGTGTAAACGATTACCCCTCACCCTGTCACAACAGGCCTTACTGAAAAATGTCACCATCCTTCTTCAAGGCCTCCCATTTGTGGAACTCAGCAACATCAGAGATCAGCTTTGGGGACAAATGATTCTGTTTTGATGTGCGTGCTGATCTGTTGGGTGTTCATGCTCTTGTGCTCTCAGTTTGATTGTTGAAGGTGTTGGGAGAGCAGAAGCTACCTCTCTTAATGAGCTTAATTCAATAATCAGGTGGCATTTTGTGTAGAAAGTGTCTTCTACGAGTGATCATAATGACCACAAGCAATGTTTATGGGCAGGAAACTGCTGAGGGCAGGATAAGCACATGCTCACAGACTGTGTGTGTCAAAGGCAGCCCAGCCACAGTCAGTGTGGAAAACCAGGGAAGAATTAGGCTGCTTTGGGAATGTATTTCATTGTAGAGCTAAAGGACTCTTCAGAGATTCAGTCCTTCTGGTGATGTTCTCACCTAGCCCCCTATTTGGCCACCTGATCAGGGTCTGGGAACATTTTGGAGGTATTCAGAGTTTCTTTTTCCAACTGCCTGTAGTCACTTCTCACTCTGAGCTGGGGTCTCCTGAAGGGCATTGTCTTGACAGCCTTGTATCTGAACCTCACATTTAATGAACAGGGGGGCACAGCACACTGCCCACACTGCTCTGCCTAGTGAGAGGTCACTTAGGATGGTGGTGGTAGTAACGGGGTTGTCCTTGTGCTGCTACTGAGACCTCCAGAGGCATTGTTCCTCTGTACCCTGCTGCACCAGGCAGGCTTGGATTGCTTTCTCAGAAGCAAACCCGAAGACATCCTGTGAGTCACTTCTCCAGGACCTGTCTGTGCCTCGGGGCCTTTCCAGCAGGCAGCAGACCCCCGTGCACTATGCAACAGGCACCCATCTATCTGCTTACCAAGACTCTTTCAAGGAAAATAATTAACTTTGTTTATCAGACTTTGCCAAGTCGTTTTGAAAACTCAATCTTGGCTATGACCATGGGGAAGAAAAAAAAAAAACAAAACAAACCCAAACCACAGCACACAAACCACCACCACCAGAGAGTTAAAACAAAGGAGTGATACTGAAGGTGTCCCTTAGAGATGGTTCTGCCCCTCGGGCAGGGGCCATGTGGTTTGCACTGGTTAACGGCTGAGCTGGTTGCTTTGCTTCCTCTGCCCCCCCAGTCCCTTTGGGAACTTTCTAAGTTACAGACCTGGCTGAGACAAGGGGTTGTGCGTTTGTCAGAGGTGCAAGCAAAGGGACTGCCCCGGGCAGGGAGCTGGCAGGGCACTCATATGAGGCGGGCACCACTTGAGGTGTGGCATCAATTGCATTGGTCAGGGCCAGCAGCAAAGACCACTAGTCCTTAGTCAAACTGGGGCAGCGCTTTGCTGAGAGTCTTCTACAAGGTTCGGGTTTGATTATTCTAATTATTTTTTCCTTTAAATGGTCGAGAGCTGAGGGGATGCTCAGGACAGGTCAGTTTGCGTTAGTCTCTTACCTGTGCTGAATGCTTCCACGCCATTCCCCCCTCGCCCTCCGGTCTCTAGGTCCACAACCTGCAGTCCGTGCGTGTCGGTCCCGTCCACCCCCCGGCTCCGGCTGCCCGCCGCCCTCCCGCAGCTC